GACATAGCCATTACACTAACTACTGGTTCCCTCTTTTCTTTTCTTTCTTTTTTGAGAGCTTTTTGCTATAGGGCACGTGCGCTAGCCAGAAAGACAAGAGAGACAGAAATTGAGAAATCACCCCCCCAGAGGGGATGGTCACACGGCAATCCCTTCTCCTCCATTCTCCTCTTGGGATCTTGGGCACGCACGCACACGCGCCCGGCGTGAGTTTTAAGCCACCAGGTCCAGGCCGCGAACCGTAGTTGACTGCGTGGGAGTCCAGCGACATAGCCATTACGCCAACTGCTGGTCCCCTAGTCATTTATTAAGAACTCTGGATCTTTAATAGGTGAGTGGATAAACAAACGGCGGTAGATTCATACAATGGAATACTACTCAGAAATAAAAAAGTATTGATGCACACACTGTAAATCTCAAATAAATTATGCAAATTGAAAGAAGCCAACTCCAAAAGATTACATACTGTGTAATTCTGTTTTTATGACATTCAGAAAAATGAAAAAAAAAGTTACAGGTGAGAGAAAAGATCAGTAGTTGCCTGGTTAAGTTAGGAGGACATGTTTAGCTACAAGAGAATTTTGCGGCCTGCTGGGATGATTCTGTATCCCGATCGAGATGATAGTCACACGGATCTATGCATCTGTTAAAACTTACAGAACTGGACGGCAAAAAAAGGGATTTTACTGTATAGGCAAATTATATTTAAAAAGAGCTCACTGCATCTACAGTCTTTCTCAGTAGGTCTCTGAGGACCCCAGAGACACTTTCCTTCCCTTTATCAATGTAGGAAAGACACAGAACAAGTGGTCTCGGAACAGGAATGTGAGCGTGAGGGTGAGGGACTGCTGCTAACCACGTGGTCTATGCTCAGTACCTGGTGCCATTGGTGGCACTGATAAACTAGAAGCCATTTTGTAGAAAATTCCTTTATTATAGTGCAAATACCTTTCAGCAGTGACATAATGTAACAACACATGTAGCAACATTTTACACCACACAGTAAATAAGAAAGTGTTTCTTTGAAAATATGTCATCATAGGAACATCATTTCTACACGAATACCAGAAAATGCCAAGGCCATTTCTCTCAAGGCAACAGGGCTCCCTCCCTTTTTGGATATATGTTTTTAAAGGACAAATGAAAGGATCTGTCATTTTAAATCTAATATCAATTCTAAGAGCGCTCTCCGAGGGGGCTTTAAACTGAGGTTGGCAAGATTTGAAATGGGGTTTCAAACGTTAAAAAAATAATAATTTTAAGACAATCCTGGAATAGTCCAGAAAGTAGAAGCCACTTATATGGACTTCGAAGTAGATAGACACATTCACTCCAATTTTGCTGCAGAAAGGGACAGATTGTCTGAAGCCTGCCTTTTATTCCTCCAGAGCCTGATTGTTATTTATATTCCTTGGTTTTGGTTATTGCAAAACTAGGGCTCTGGTCAGAAATAATGCCTTACATACCCAAATCCTTTCCTGTGAAGCTTTAAAATTGCACTTTCCATCCTGAAATTCCCACCTTAGACCTCACAGGTGGAGGACAGGGTGTGAACATTGTCTCCAATTTACAGCTAACCACTTAGTGCAGTTGGATCAACCCCCTACTAATTTAGCTGCAGCTAAATCAATCATCACCTCATTTAGATTAATCCCAATAGGTTTATCCAAGAGGTTCCCACTGACCTCATAGAGAAAGGAAGGGTTAACACTGCATTTTCACACTAAGCTGCCTAAGGGCTTGGCTGCTAACGAGTTAGCTGATAGGCAGAGAGAGCAGTGTCAATTCCCACAGCGACACTCCTTGCTCTTCTAGTTTCTGCTGAATTATGCAGTGATGGGAAGGCTTGGCCACTCAGAAAGACTCGAGTCCTCCCATGGGGATCTTCCACCAGAAATTGAATCAAAATCTCTACAAATACTTTTCAGGGTACCCTCTAAGTCTCTATGAACACACCTCCAAATGTGGCTTCACCAGCCAGGAGAAGTTAATCACTGCTCAGAGATGCCTATAGCCACAAAGCAGCCCTCATGGCTGAATATGGCTAAGTTGGCAGGTACAAAGCGTTTCAGCCTTTTAATGTCCAGCCACTCTGGTTGGATACAGTATCTTCTTATATAATACAATGGAACTGTGCTAAGCAGTTTCAAAGTGGAGAAGAATTCAAATCTATCAGCTATACAAAATTCACAATTTTAGTTTTCTTTGTTTATCTTGGACTTTGGTACTGAAACACTGTCTACATTCTCGACACATGAAAATGACATGGCCACTTCAGTGCCTCTGCATGTTGTGTAAAAATGAAAAAACAAACAAAAAAACCAAAAAACCCTCAGAAGCAAAGCAGGACAAGGACATGTCATAACAAGACGCAGTATGCTATACAAACAAAATCTAAATTATATATAAATACACCCCCACCCCAGCACCCCTTTCTTCCCCCACTACCTGACCAGAGCAATGCCAAGGGTCCTTCCCTCTAGGGCAACACAGCTTGTGAAGTGCTGTGCCCAGGACTCCAATCATCCTTTGCCTTGAGGTGACATTTACAGTACTGGAGACAATCTACTGATGGATCAGTCCATGAGGGCAGGGAAGCTGCGGACAGCTTAGCTGGAAGCAGTCATGCTATTGGCTGACCGAGAGACCTGGAACCCTGGGAGTTAACCTTCCAGATAATCAACTGAATCTTTTACTAATCTGGATCCTTCTTATCCTACACTCTCCTCAGAGTCAGCACAGCAGGAAACACTGACTTTGAAACTCCAAAGGCATTGCTTAGGGATATCAGAGAGGGTCACATAAGAAATGTTCTACAATGAGCTGACAGCTTTGAGTTGATATAAATTACTTCCAAGTAAGTTATTTGGGGCCATTTGCTTTTGCTTTATACTGCATTCCAGATTTATTTTCAAATGAAAAAATTTTAAGGTTTACATAACAATCATTTAAAATATTGTCTATGTAACACCTTGTATGTGTTTTTGATTAATTTAAATAACAAGTTAATGAGCTAGTCTGTGAATCTAGGGAGAAATATTGATAGTGGATTTGTCTTAGGGAAGCCAATACTGTGCTATTCACAGTAAGGAGAAAAAGCAATGTAAACAGAATTTATATAATTGACAATCACTTGAAAAGTAGATCTATTGAAATGTTGCAAAGTTTTCCCAAAAGCACTTACAGCAATTTATATCAAGAGATCTTCACTTTAGGAAAGATGGGGCATACCACTCAACTCTTTAAGATAGAAATTCGCCTGTTTTATGATTGTAATACGTAATTTTCCCCTTGGAACTAAGACATTTGTACATTCACGAGTTCCTAACTTGCTGTTCTTGAGACGTTGCTCATTCTCTAATACATACGTCGAGTTTAAATAAATAACTACGAGAGAGCTTCGAAACATCTAAATTAACATTATGCTGTGCAAACAAACAACCAAAAAAAAAAACAAACAAAAAAAAAACGAACAAACCTTGGACAACCTACATTCTATGTAAGTACCCTGACTAAAATGTTGGTTGTGCTACACAATTCCACTTCAGTGCAGAAATGTGTTGAGTTCGGTGTACCGTTGTTGGTTTTTAACGTCTTTAGCACTTTTGTTTCTAAACACCATCTTGCTTTGAAAAGATGAATAATTTGCTACCAATTCACAAATCATCACAAATCCGTGTTAGTCTAGTCTGAATAAAATCCAGCATAAATGTGTTACTTTGTTCTGGGAATAATGGCTTGGTGTCTTGGTCTCCACCGCTTCCTTTCTATGGGCAAACCACGGTGGAAGCTGTCCTTTTGGGTTTAACCTGCACAGAGAGAAGAGACAGTGGAGCTTGCCTTATATTTTTGTTTACTTTTTAAGTCTCCAGATCTTGCGAGGACACTTCTTCCACACCCAGAGTCAGAGAGTTGTGGCACCTGATCCTGTTTGAAACAGAGGTGGCTCTACACAGCATCAGCCAAGCTTGGTGATCTGCAGGTCCCCATTTATCTTTATGGTGTCGATAGCAGATAACGTTTGAATGCGATGGTAAAAATCAAAGAGTTGGTGTCCATCCACAAATACTCTGAAACGTGGGTGTTCACAAAGAATTTCCACCTGGAAGAAACAAAACAGGAACCTCAATGCCCAATTTCAGTGAACCCTGAAGGGGAATAGAAATAAGCAAACTCGACTTTGTTTTGGAGAAGAAAAGGCAACATCTCCAGTGCTTCTCTAACACTGGGAGACATTGGAACCAGGTAGGGAGCTTGTCAGGTCTAGGGTAAGGGCTAAGAATCTGCATTTCCACCAAGTTCCGAGGAACGTGGATGTTGCCGAAATGGGGACCGCACTTTGAGAACCACTGTCCTACGCTATTCAATATCCTTTAGAGATTTAAAATTGCTGTGCTTTAACATGACTCCTTCCTCCCTGCATTCCAGAAAGTGATGTAAACTAGCATAGATGTGTTTGCATGGTGCTTTAGGCCTTCACTGTCATCCCCTGAACAACTTTATTCCACCCCAGAGCCCCTCACCAGGCACCCATTAGTAGCACATAATAATAGTCTAGACACTCAAACATGGTAAACACCAAGGCAGAGATGGGTACACAGTAATTACCACTGGACCAAGAATGTGTAATTAACAAGGCTTTGTTAAGCCACACACAAATACTGATTCCATATGGTAAAAGCTTTTTCTTTTCCTTTTCCTCAACTTCAGTAATTCACCATAGAGTTTAATTATTGCTTCTGAACTGTGATGTATTTTTAAAAAGCATTGGTATTCATCATGCAAAGAAAGACTCCATATGTGACATTAGTCACATTTAATTCATATTTATTACTAAAATATCTCTAAGAAGGGCCTATTTTACTTCAATTTTCTTGTTGGGGAGCATTATATGGCTCTTGGCAGTCAGAAACTCTGGTTACTCACACTTATGAGCTATGCACTGGGATTCATCATTAAGAAACTGTCCCAGCCAGGAGGATCCTAAGGGGGCATTGTCATCCTAGAGGAGGAACTGAGGGATGGGGGATGAGCCAGGAGTATCTTCCCAGGACTAAGATCAGAAGGCAACAAGTTCAATTCTATCACTGACGTAGTCACGGATTCTTTATCTTCCCCCCCAGACTATAAGAAAGGAAGAGAAACAATGACTTCTTCACAAGGCCCTAAAAATATTTTAGATGAAGAGCAACAGGTTAAGGGTAGTACTGTTTTATTAGGCTTATATACAGTACAGAGCTTTTAACTGAGCTGATATTATGATGTTGTAAGTTAACAAGAGGTAATGAAGACAACTTGACATCAACAGGTCTGACATTTCACTCAATTCCTTAACACATTACTGACTTGCATCTCCTGTTTGGCACTGTCGTTCACGGAGGAGGGTGCAGCTATGGTGCCAGACTGGCTGGGAAGTCTGTGTAGCGCTTCCCGCCTGCTAGATAGTGGGGAACCCACCCTTCCTCATCCAGACCCAAGGAAAGGAATCTGACAGTCACCCTGGCTGAACCCATGAAATAGACTGAGGCTGGGGCCGGCAGGTGGTGTGATGGCTGAGGGTGCTGGACTCCCACATGGCAGACTGTGGTTTGAGTCCCAGACCTGGTGGCTTGCTTTCTCACTTTCTCCCTCCCTCTCTCTCTCTCTCTCTCTCTCTCTCTCTCTCTCACTCTGTCACTGGTCAAATTTAAAAATAAATAAATAAATAAAGTTCAATAAAATAAATCTTTAAAAAAAATAGACTGAGGCTAATGAATCCAGAGGGGAAACAAGGACAAGCCATGGCCTCATTAGCAAAGAGAATGGGAGAAAATGCAATAACAATCATTTTATTCTTTAAAAAGTCATAACTAATAAAGTTTAGAGCTATACTTAAAGGTTGAGAAGAAATGAGAGAAAATGCTGGACATTTAATATTTACTAATCCATCAGATATCTAGGGGTAGCTATCTATTATATGCCTAATACTATTGTTAAATATTTATTCTTAAAGATCTGGACATGGAAATAGGGGTCTATTTACTAAATGTATGGGTGAAATCGAGCCACTAGCTACTATAGCAAGTGTTCTTTTTTCACCATCCGGGGATCAATTTCCTGGACATGCAGAAATTCTGGCTGTGCAGTGTTCTTGGCACACACTGAGAAGCAGAACGCCATCACCCTGCCAGAGGCCGGGGCTGAGGTTCTCGAGTACTCACCCTGAATGGCTGGTCTGGGATGAATGGGAAGTAAGGGATTGCTGACTGCTCTTCACCTCGTTCTCCAGATATACACGAGTTTCTGAGTAGCTGCCGGTCCGTGAACACGGCCTTGAGTTCAATCGCCACATCAGCGGGAGGGTCTTCTGAGTCACCACAAGTCAAGCTGATGGCAAAACTGAAAAAACAAAACAACAACAAAAAAACCAGTCTCATTTAGTCAGGGTTGGATATAAAAGCCTTCCAAGATGAATGTTGGTTTACATTCTATTGGGTCATCAGAAAAAGTCATGCATTTTTGCATAGAAAAATATAGAAAAATAAGTCATGACTTTTCTGATGACATAATATTTTCTCCTCCTCCCCAGGCTTTGCTTTTAACAGGCCACTGCTCTTCTCAGGAGAGGTTGGATTGTGGAGGAGTAACTTGAACCATTTTATTTTGTTACTTAAAGCAGACTCTGGTAGAAACTTGGGAGTTGAAAGTGACTAAAATGAGAGCTTTCAAATATCCGAAACCACCCATACATCTGTGTCTCAATCCATTTTAGAATTCTCAAAAACAGCCTAGAAATTGACCAGGGCAATAATAACTTGTAAAGTTTAGTTCTTATTAATATTGTTAGTTCTTGCTCCAAGCATGATGTTTCAAAACCATTAAATTAAAAAAAAAATCCTTGGGTCTCCCTAGGGGTCAAAGAGAAAATGTGGGCCTATATTTATAATCTCTGATATAAATAGATGTCTGGAGAAATGATGGCTGGGATTCGTACACATTCTTTTCATGGGAACATGCTACTTTCTTGGCAACTCGCAACTAGCCACACTGTCCACAAGGAGAGGAAGAGGAGGGGCACTAAACCGCAAAGGGAGGGGGGCGGACCCTGCCACTGCCTGATCTGCCGGGGCCTGGGCCGAGGTGTCTGGCGGAGGTGTATGCCTTACCTCTCTGGGTTGAGGTCTACGATGCCCATCACTAACACCTTCTTGCCAGGTCTCATGCCACCTTTAATGTGCCCACAAAATGGAACTATCTGCAAAGGATGAGACGCAAAATAGGAAGTTTACAGCCTGCAGGGAAAAAGCCAAGCTCTCAGATCCCAAGAACCTGACTCAGAAGGAAGCGCAAGGAAAATGCAATTAAAAAGGAAGAGACAGAACAAAATCGTTTACCAGTCGTGGGAAGTACACGTCGGCTTGAACTGGAGAGCCCAAGGAGTTGTTTAAATGCCCGTCATCTAGTTTCTAAAAATAGAAGCACACCGATTGGCTTTTCATAGGCCCCTTTTGCCGGGAGGGGGTGGCGGAGGAAGAACCTACACAACCCTGGAGAACCGGGAAACCGTCCGCACACAGCCAGTGTCTGCAGAGGGATGCCTCCTCTTGGAACATTCAGTACCCGCGTTCACCTCCGGAACAAACCCCGTCCTTTCCGCTCGCTAGCTAAGCCTCTGAAGGGCCCCCAGACCTTTCAGATTCAGACCAAAACCAAGGTCGAGGCCCACCGGGGAGCCAGAAGCCGGTGCCAGAAGAAAGCAGGCCCCTCTCCAAGCGTGAATGCTTCTGGAACTGCTGTCGTCCAGGCCTGTCCTCGGGACGTGGCCGAAGTGGAGCGGCAGCGTTCAACTTCTCTCCGGAGCCGCAGGCACGAACCCAATTCCAAGGGGGAATCCCCAGTACATCGGGGCAGTCGCGGGGCGTGCGCCCCAGACACACTCACTCACGCGCACACGCACACGTGCAACGTGCACACACCTGGCTGGGGTTGAACGGCGCGGAGGGGCTGTAAGACAGTCTCTCCCACCGCCGCCGCCCCCCGCCGCCGCCCCGCCAAACGCCCTCCCCAAGCCCGGAGCCCTGCAGCCTGGGGAGCCCTCCCGCCCGGAAAACGGCAGCGCACGGTCACCTCCCTCTAGCAGGGAGTGGGCGCCGTCCCACGCTGGGGCGCCGGCCCGGCCCGGCCTGCGGCTTCCCTCC